GAGGAAATCATCTCGGTATAAGGAGAGTGCGCGTTTACGATCATGGATAAAAGGCGAAGTATGGCGATAAAAAAGGAGCGCGTGGGGAAGCGCCGGGCGAAGTTTAACCTTCTTTGATGATTCAGCAGCGATCACTCGATTTACGCGAGTTCCCCGTGACTTCATTAAGTCGATCCGGAGGACGTTCGTGTTCGTGTGGCACAGTTCCCGGGTTGCGTGCAACTTGCACAAAAGTTTTCTTGTTCCCGTGGCAATTACGATGCATGCTTGTGTCTTTATACACTTCTTATTAACGATACTTCCTTTTCGGGGCCGCGGAACGGATTAAATTGCTTGTTAGCAACTTCATTAAACCCGCGATTAAAAAGGTTCGATTTTACGTTAACACACAAGACGTAACATTACGCTCAATGCGATTAGCTAATCGCCCGATTGTCTAGAATAACCATTTCTAATATCTCAAGACGAACGAAGCATGTGATTATTATATATTTCTTTTATTACTGTTTATTGAATTTCTGAATTAGGAATGTCGTATCTTGTATTGATATTAATATTTAAAATTTCACGAATCCAATTATTCGCCAGACGCAGCGACAGAATTTAATTAAAGTGAAAGAGTTTATCTCAAAGACAGGGTTCACCGAGTAGCGTGACACGTTTCAATTTGTAAAAGCGGCCGGCCGATGGCAGCCGCCCATTATCATACAGGTTTAAGGTCGTTAAAGCAAGTTTCCACGCACAATATTAAGCAGCCTTCACATGGTTAGATTGCGATCGGTCTCTCCTTCTCGACGATCGTGCAAAGACACGCGACCGGATATGGAATAAAATAATCGTATGCACCTCGGGCAACTAAGGGCACGCGCTGATCGCCCCTAACATAAACGGACTAAAAGTATAAACGAAACCACGCAGTTTTATCCAGGCGAGATCGGGTCATCGAAACGTGATCCACGGTATTTTCCGATTCACGCGAGATTAAGAACACGGCACGAAATAAAATACTGCGCCGGGATGGCGTAAACAGAGTGAAAATATTGATTTAATCGCGCCCTTCATCTTCAAGAAACATCAATTCCTTCGTTTGTACAGCTCCGATGCTCAATGCAAATAAAAATTGGAATTAGTTAAAACACCGGTCGTCAAACACGGATGTACTAAAGTATCTTTGCCTGTAGGTACGAATGAAAAGCAGACAGAAGGATAGAGCAATAGAGCAGAGAGAGAGAGAGAGAAAGAGAGAGAGAGAGAGAGAGAAAGAGAAAGAGAGAGAGAGAGAGAGAGAGAGAGAGAAAGTCTGATCCGAGTAGATATTAATTTATCGGTCTCGTTTGTTCTCGTCGCGAGCCGCCGGCGTATAAGACGGCTGTGAGCGATTGAATATTAAGTGGCCGGGAGTCTCTGTCTGTGCTTCTCAGCGGCGAACTTCGCCCAGGGGACTTCCTCCGAACTAGAAAACGAGACTGACATGAGACCTATGACGTCGTCGTCGTTGTCGTAGTAGTCGACGATGACGGGAGGTGGAGATCGCGACGGAACGAGGACGAAACGAGCAACGCAGAAGAGATACGAGGGGGGAACCGAAGGAGGTAAAAGAGACGGGAGAAAATAGAGCGGAGCGAGACGGAACGGCGCCGCGGGCGATTTCAATAATTAATGTCACGGGAATTGCCGCGCACCGGAGTTACTACCGCAAACTTGAAATTCCCTGCCGCGGTATTCGAGGTGGATATCGGCCCATGGATAATTACTGCGATTATCCCGGGGACAAGCGAAGTCTTCTCGCGAGCTCCATCGGATTCTAATGAAAACTTCGCCGAAGCCCCGACCTATCTTCCAATAAACTTCATCCGGTGGCAATTGACAGTTTTCGCGCTCACCGCTTTTCGCTGTTTTCTCGTTGTCGGAACGTGAACCGATACCATTGAGCGCAACTGACTGATTCATTTCACGTTTATAGATCGTATTTTATTTGTTTACTATTACGCGGTTTGCGAAATTCCCGTGGATCCGTGCCAATAAAGTATATTTTGACAGAAACGCGTGTCTGTTTATTTACGCCCCTATCTCCCACAAATTTCTAGCATGCCAATAATGAACAGCGAATTGTTTCACGGTTTCACACCAAACGAATCCGTAACATCAATCGAATGAACCTGATACTATAGACAAGTTTCGAAAAGTCTTTCTGCCCTTTGCAGGTAGCGAATAAAAAAGAGATCGAAAGATCAACGAACGGTCAAAGGTAATTTGTTCGTATGGCAGGAGCATCGAGTAGAAAGTCAAACGTCACGGGTCGAAAATCAACGGTGGGGGAGTGAATTCGGGCCCTTTTCACGAGACGAGGCTACGGGAGACGGAATGGTGTGCCGACACATGGCTAAAGGTCGTCGGTCACGCGATCACGCCCCCGCTCGTTAGCACCTACGCTCGAGGTTGGTGGAAGATAGAGAAAGAGAGAGAGAGAACGAGCGAGAGAGGGTACAGGTGGATGAGAATTCCGCTTCGCGCGCGGAAGCGTGCCGGTGGTAGAGGCAGCGGCCTGTGTGGCACGCGCATTACAATTCCGACGCAGTTAACGCGTTCCCTCCTCTTAATCAGCCTCGAGACCTCCTCAAGAGTCCGTTTTTCCCTGATAAAGAGGAACCTCGCCGGCGCACACGTTCGGGGGCAAGAGGTTAAGCGTGGGTCCCGGGGATCTTACTCTCTATCCCCGTGCCATGACGGTGGGCGTTTCGTCGCTTCCGGTTCCCGGGCGGCAGGAAGTGGCTCCCGGAGAGAAATATATCCGACCACCACCCGAGGTACATTAGAAGAGCCGGCTGAAGGAGAACCGGAAGGAGGTCAGATTCCGAGATTAGATTCTGTCGGTTTCTACCTAATCGTAAAAGTCTAGCGTTTTACTAAATCGACCATATATAAGCGTAACTAAACAATTTTGTCTGCACTGTTGTCTTTGAAACGATTAAAGGATTAATACAGTAAGAGAAGCATCGCAAAAGACTGTCGTAATTTAAATACTTTATATGGTACATGTCCTCGACATAATCACCTTGTGTGTGACTTTGTAAAAATGTTTCCACGTAATTAATGCATACGGTCTAAAAGTTAAACAACTGACGCGTATATTTAATCATTTTCTTTCTCTAACTCAACAGAAATTTACATAGGACAGAACAGGTTACAATAGCGGATTGTTCCAGAACTTGATTAAAATGTCGGAACAAGCGTATGGGAGTTTACAACAGTAATGATAGTCACGAAGTGACCATAGCGTGTATATACGAGCAAACGGAAGGGAAAACCGCCGCATAGAATGGTTAATTCATGAAACAGTATCCCATGCGCTTCACCCTCTCGAGATCCAACCCCCGATCCGGCTCGGCGTCGCGTCGTTTAGAAAACGTTCGAATATCAATGAATCCACAGGTTTTTGCCCCGGACCTCGCACAATTGACACCATCTCCGTTTTCAGGGGTGACCGGCAAAAATCCAGTCAGAAGTTAACACAAATATTTTGGTTTTCGGAAACGAATCTGGTAAAAAGTTCGCACGTTCAACCGGTCCAAACACCGGCGGTTATAATGCCAGTAAGCTTGTGGATCTCTTTACGTGACCGACCATAAACATTTCGTTTTTACCCTCCAATGCAGTTACGCTTGTCGACTCTTTGCCACAGGTATCGTATTTAGGAATGGATTCCAATCAATTTCAACAAAGCGATCATAACAAAATAAAAATAACCAATATTGATAAACGATCTCTAAATTGTACAAATATTTGAAGTTAATAAAAATATAAACACGACCGTAGAAACGTTTCGTTTCAACGCAAATTTTCCAACAATAGCTGGAATATGGTTTTCTTCGTGTATGTGTAATAAAGGGCGTGCAGGCGGGGTCACAGACACAGAGCGTCGGTGAAATATAAATTTCCCCGGAACGCGACGATGAGTTAATGGGAAAGATCAGTGACTACGAAACGCGACTGCAAATTGACGTTCGGGGCTTTTCGTGGATCGCAATGAATCCACAGGTATTTTTCAACGCGGTTCACCGCGCTACTTTGTTCCCGCAAAATAATTTCGCCCGCCAGTTTTTAATTCATATGAAAATATTTCCTCGCTGAGGAAGAATAACGCGAGAATTCGTCGGTCCGAAAAAATTGTCCGGGGACAACGCGGAACGATTAAATTAGTCAGAGGCGTACCCTTTTTTTTTTTAAACGTAATCATTGTCACATGAAGGAGACGAAAAACAGACGAAAATAGGAGGAAACGAAAATTAAACCTGTCCCGAAATATCCGTTTCCGGTATTCGTCGCTGGTAAAGAGTGAGTGCGCTACGAATAACAAGGCTCGTCGTTTCACGGGGCAGTAAAATCTCTCGTTTCGCCGAGGTTAATTGCGTAATGGACTATAAATGTTAAGTGGCTGCCGGCGAAGTCGGAACGCTTTTCTAGAAGACGCGATAAATGTTCCAGGCCACCGTCTCCTTTAAAAGCGAATCTACTCCCGGAATCTTCGTTTACCTAAATGATTAAAAGACGCCAGCAAACACTATTGGAACTTGGTTAGCAAATTATGCCTCGCGAATAAATACATGCCTCGTGCGAATTTAAATTATTAATCGGTCGTTTAATCAAATCAAATGTCACTCTTCAAATAGAATTTCTTTCCCAAACTCTGTGGTAGCTGAAGCAGTACCGAGCAAAGAGCAGCGACGCTGCTCTCTTTCGAGGCATTTCCAGCGAGGGTTTAGCGTGCAATATTAAGAGGCTTGTTATCGTCAGCCTCATAATAGGATAGCTTTCACAACGCATTGCATGGCGTAGACCTTAACCAAAGGCGACAGAGAGTCACGTTCGAGTAGGATTCAACGACTTTGATCGCGCCATCGAGCATTTTCGCTCGAAACGGGATCAGCTACTATATCACCCTCCACCCCCGTACCAACGTATAACTAGCATGCACTACACACTGTGGAAAGTTCACTTACGAGGCTTCGTGGTTTCCTGCGGCGTCACTTCGGTCAACTGTAAAGAAAAAACAACGCTTGTTCAGAATTGATAACGTCGCACCAAAGACGACATACATCGCAAGCTCATTTCCATTTTCGTTTATTTTTACATAATTATTAGTATTACAATGAATTTATTACATCAGAAATCTTGAATCAGAGCCAAAGCTCAGAGCTTCCCATGTAGGAGACGTCGATATCGATCGATCGAGTGCATTTCGCGATACTAGAAGAAACCGAAATGCTACGCTAGCGGGCTGGTTTTTTAGAACAGCTACACACGAAGGTACGCGAAAGCCGGTTTATCCGTAACGAAAGGCGTCCATCTCGGCCTCTTGACACGGTGCCAAGTGGCACGAAATACTTCTCCGATTGCTCGATACAATTCGGAACGTTTGCACAATCGATACGCGCCTATACACTGTAATCGACAATAAAGAGAAAACGAAATCTATGTAATCAACGAGAATTTAATGAATCTTCAATTCATCAGAAATTGAAACATGAGAAATATAATGAGTTATTAAATTAATCGAGTACTTTTTAACTGATGAAATACTTCATGACCAAGGAAACAGGTAAATCTACATTAATTTCCTTAATGGACGCCTCAATACTGATTGCAACAGAGTAGACAGATAATGCGAAACGAAATATACGCTCGATCAATTGCATGAAACAGAAAAGGGATTGTCACCTTGGCTAGCACCGTATTGAACGTGAACTTCGACTCGAGCTCCTTCCTCGGCGTTTGGGCGATTGCCGTCAGCGGCGTGGGCGGCATCGTCATTTCCTGAAACACAGAGGATCGATCGATTAATGTTTACACCGTCGTAACTGATTCAACTTAATTGCACATCTAAACCCCTTTGATACTACATACGAGATAATGAAACGAAAGGGAATACGATCTCTCTCTCTCTCTCTCTCTCTCTCTCTCCCTGTTAATCAATCTTATTTTATCTGCTCTTATTGGAGACCTGGTCATATCTGGCATACATTTTTAGATCAATCTGTTGCCTCGCTAAATGAGAAAATAAAATCAGCTGAACCCTGCCCCCCCGTCACGTGCAACTGTCGCGCGTGAACGAAAGCGAGCACTTTTGCGTAAGACCAGCAGCATCTAGGTTAACGTTACGTCAACGGGCAGCGGGATCACGAATTCCGCGTGCGACCGTCGACGACAAAGCCGACGGGTCCGTACGCGGAACCCGTGTCTATTAACGTAGCGTGGTCTCGCCCACGCGCGTGCATCACAGGGACGCAAACGCGCGAACAATGCAGAGCGCGTCTGGTGCATCGAGTACACACGGCTGAACGAAACGCATTTCCACCGGGCGACGGGCGAATCGTCGGGACCGATTCATTGACCCGTCGAGACATCCGTCGACGCCGAACAAAGAACGACGAGACAAAAGAGCCTCCTCCTCCTCCTCCTCGTCCTCTACTCCGCGGCGCGTTCGACCGCTTATATTCTTCCTACGATCAACGACGATGCCTCTTCTCCTCGTTGTTTACCGCCGCTACGAATTATGCAGCGTGCAGACCGCGAAAATTGGACCCGGCCTCGCGGCGAATTCCCAAGAGAGCATTCGATCGGACTGACGCGGCGACAACCAAGTTCTCGATCTACTTTCCTCTGACTCGACGTACTATTTATTGTTGCACGGGAAGATAAACGTTCGAGCGTAAAACATTAACGAATTTTGTTGACATAATTCAAGCACATGTAGTATTCGATACGATACGATTTAATTAATTTAATTAATCATCGATTTGGAATATGATTTCTTTCGTATTAATGTTATGCAAATTTCTTAGAACCGAGGTACGACGATAAGCTGATCCAACTGTTCACGTGCTACTGACACGAATCGATGGCCGCTGACAATCGACGCCTCTCAAACGCTGCCCACGCTCGGGCACGTTCGATGCAACGCACGTGCATTCCAAAACGTGCGCAAGACAAAAGCTTGTAAGGAATGAAATACAGATTTTATATTGTCAACAACGACAAAAACAATGTGCATATAAATTATTATCAAATAATGTCAATTAATAATTGAATATAAAAACAAATTATGTGAAGCGTGTGACGTGCAAATTCGCACCTCGAGCGTGTCGCACGAGTATTTTAAAGAAAAACAGTACTAGAACCGGCTATTCGTTCCGATGAAAGTTATAACCGAGCTTCTAGTGGCTCCTATGTGTCGTCACACGTTCTCGAGAGACTCTCTACCGTTTGACACGCGATAACTTCGGAATCTGGCTTGGGTGCTTGCCACCATACTTTATGAAACGAACCAGATGACCCAGTGACCCACAGAGGGTTACTATTTACCTAAAAATAAGCGCTATGCCAGGGCGTGACACATCTGCTGAATCATTTAATAAAGATCAATCGGGAATTCATTAAGAAAATGTAAACGCTCCATTTCATATGCATAACTCACGAATTTGCATACTACTTTTCAACAAAAAGAGCATAAAAACTGTCAAAAAAATAATTACGAATGAAAAAGGAATGATTCATTAGTCTTTTCCGATTGAATAATTCACGCAGATTATTTGATCGCACTTCCATCTCTTATCAATCCCGTTATCGAGGAGACTGAAAAATATTCTATATTATACGTTTGCACGTACGTATGTATAAGCAGAGATGTATGGATTGTCCTGCGAAAAAGAATAACGCGACCGCGGAGTGCGGGATCGGTCGACGATCATACATAATGTAAGGCAAGCGCGTCGTGAATATAACGGTGAAACGGCAATGGCAGAGCGTTATCCTTCGAGCGGAAACGCGCGGTGGAACATCGTTACCAGTTAACGTTCCGATATTTTTCCGCTCCACGTTCCTCCGCGGATGGGAAAAATAGCTCTCCACGCGTTTCCACTCACCCGATTCGCCGTTTAATTGGCGCCCGACAGATTTCGATGATCCGCGTCGCTGATCAAACATGAAATTCATACAACGCCGTACACTTTTTTATTATTGCAAATCATAAAATCGTTAAAAACAAGTAACAAGATCGGTTTATCTAGATTCGCGTAAATATATCTATTTTTCTTAAAATGGGAAGAAGGTCAATGAGATTAAAAAACGCGATTGAATCCGACGATTCCGAGGCTAGACTGCGAGAGGAGAAAACGAAGCAGTGAGAGAGAAACGAAGGGAACAGACCTATGGTGCGTCGTTAATCGCGACTTATTATTCTCGCATCGGCCGTGTGCAGCATCGAGACGCGCGTGACTCGCGTACAGAATCGTTAATTTGCGTCCCGACGGCCACGACACCGTCAGCGACGTCGCTTAGGGCCGAACGAAAAAGGACTTGATGCGTTTGGCAAACGTGTCGAGCTCCGGCGAGAAAATTCCCCCGGGGCTGAGTCACCCTCTCTCTACGCGCGATTTACCATTTCATGCGAACTAGTTATAGTACTGCACGCGTGCCCGGAGAGCTTTATTCCCGGTGAACACGAAACGTCACCGCCACGGGGTTTATGGAGACTCCGCGAGCCGTCTAATAGATCCGATGCGAATGGACGCGTTGAACCAGGCGTGTAACGTGTCATTTCGCGAGGGTAGATCGATTTTAAATTAGATTCCATTTCCTATCTCAATATCGGGAAAGTAGCCGTTTGAATTATTCAACTGAGTGAAATTTCGAACAAATTAAACAAAATCCGTCAGTGGTTGGTTATTGGCTTAAACGGGATGATTAATTATTCGAGCAAGAATATAATAAAACCGGATGATTTCTTGTCGACCAGTGAAACGTTCTAACTTGGTCAAACTGAATTTCGAAAAAAATTCAAACTTTGTGTCACTGAAATATTTAATGAGATATGAAATTGAAATTCGCCAATGAAGTTTCGATTAAAATCGTTGCATGATTGATAAAGCTCGGGCGAAGGAGTCTCAGAAAATTTCAAGAACCGCTGACTGCGATAAGATAGTACGTCCTCGCGACACAGTCGCTGAATTATTTATTCCAAACAGGCGAGAGAACAAAGGGGTTCGATGATCCGTAGCGTGACTACGAGGCCGAGCAAGAAAATCGCATTTATCGTCACCCACTTCGGCTATTCACGAAAGCTGTTCCCTCTACCGTGACAAGGGGTGAAAGAACTCGTTTAACCAAAAATTTCAGATCACAAATCAATCAATCATACGATTCCAATATTCTTCCAAAGAAAATTGTACAAATCCCGTGAATTGGAACGAACAGAAAAATTGTTTTGCTGTTATTCACAGTTTAAACTAAAGAGCTCGAAAACGTGCTGCAGAATCTCTCGGAACATTTTGAAAATGTCTCGCGCAGCTCATTTCCGTTATCCAAAATCCGACACCGGATCGTCGACTATCGGAACTCGCATTCACCGCGAATACAAGTATACGGGTGCTCGCGTTTCTAACGGGCCGAGCGGAAAGGCCATCGATTCCGGCGACAACAAACATCGACGAAAATCGCCGTTTTCTATACCTACCGCCGGGAGATCGATCGCCGAGCGCGGAAACGCGTTTTCCATTTCCATCCAGCCGCCGCCGCCGCCGCCGCCGCCGCCGTGCCGTGGACGTATATACCGCGCGCTTTTATTCATCCCCCTCCGCGAATTTACGGCCGACCGGCGCACCGTTTCGCTCGCGATGGAATCTTTTATTTCGGTAACGGTTTTTCGACCAGCCGGCTCTGTTTCACGGATAAATATTATCCTCGTCGAATATTCCATTCGATAAACCGTGCCGGGAACTCGGATTTCCGAACGGTGTTGCCTCGCGTGTATTTTTACCCGGTAAACGCGACAGACAGATCGTTCGTAACAATGTTCCTCGAGGCGATCTCTCTTTCGTTCGAGTAAAATAATTAATTTTAACGTAATTTACAAATGAAAACGGTACTACTGCTCATATCAATTTTAATCGACACGAAGAACGAAACTCATTTAATGCAGATCACACGGAATGTGATTGATGAATATAAAACAAACATCACGTACGATCCTGTTAAAACATCACAGAACCGTACAATGTTCTAATCGACTCGAAGGTCGCCAGACCTCCAGACCAGGGACCTTAGGTACGCGACCACGTTAACTCGATCAAGTTCGAGTTGATCTTATAAAATCGGGGTTGTCCCTACGTGCTAACAGTTAATACGAACCGGAGAAGTAAACGCGAGACGGAAAAACACGATCGTTTTACGTGTATCGTGTGCTGGAAGGTTGATCGAAGCCCGGCGCGGTGTGCGGGCACGCCCCGCCGCGCCGGTCGAAAACTGGATTAGCCGCGATTTATAGGGGCTACACGGGAATCGAATTTAAGCTCGTGGAGAGAAAAAATCTCGAACGCGCGCCGGTCATGCGGCGAACGGCGATATTCGACCTGCAGGAGTTTACCTCGCTAAATACACCCGCGGGCCATAATGGAGCTTGAAAATTTCCCGATTAATCGGCGAACGCACCGGACGAAGAGGTGGATCAGGTAGCCAGGGGACGGCGGCGGCTCGATATGACGGAAGGGGATGGGGTGTTGGACGGATAACGGTGGCGAAAGAACGCGATACCGCTTCAGAAGCAGCAGGCTAGACCAACGCGATCGTCGTCGTCGTCGTCGGCGAGCGCAATTAGCAGCCGCATTTACGATGCCTACTGGCGCAACTCTCGTATTTTCCCACGGGCAGAGCCGTGAGAATAATTCATGGGCCTCGACGGTGCTTCTATACCAAACGACCAGGCCGGTCTGCAGGAAGGAGGATGCGACGGGAAAAGGGGGACAGAGAAAGAGAGAACGAGATAGAGGAAGAACGAGAGAGCGAGAGAGAGAGAAGAGTCAGAGCTACAGCACGCCAACGACTGGCCGGTAGTATCGTCATAAATTCGCGCTGAAAGTGGAAAAGCCCGGAGAGAACGGGAACGTCGACTCTCGACGGAAACTAAAGCGAACGGATGCTCCGTTTCTGCGGCAAATCTGAGAGAAGACTTTGACCCTTTGCCCGCGCTCCCTCTATATGTCTCCCTTGCCGATCCTCCGGCGAATTAAATGTCAAATGTCCCAAGATTCATGGAAAATGTTTCTATGTTTTACCCTGAAAAGTGATGAGGGTGTCGAGATGGAAGGGTGGCGGTATCAGGCTATCGCGTGTTTGTAAACCGAGGGCGATCAACCCTTTCGCTAAAGGCGTTTTGGTCAACGAGCGGTCATGCACGGCTTTCGTACACAAATCGTATTAATAACAACTTATGAAGCATCGACAAAAATGGACGATACAATAAAATTAATGAACAGTAATTATTTCGAACACGATTATCACTAACGATTTATCTTGATTTTGATTTGTAAATAAAATATTAAATCGAGATCGCTTCGACGTCGTCGTTTATGTAAGTATTCAGTAAGGGTCGCGACGATACGAATTACGTTGGGAAACGCATCCGGTAAACGGAGGAATACATAATTAACGTGTGTCAAGGGCCAAGAAAATTAAGCGATACCCCAAACGAAAGGGAAAACGGTCAACGCCCATGCACCCGCCTATCGAGTAAACGTTAATTACTTTCCATCAGCACGCGTATTCGACATCGTTGCCACCGGTATCTCGATGCTCGATCAAACGCGTTAAAATATTGCCAGCCTCATAATGATATCAATCCGCTGATAATCGCCGCTACGCCGTGTCCATAAATTAACACACTCGATCCGGGTACTCGAGCGAGAGGGGCTGGCTTTTACCGATCACTGAAACCGGAACATTATACCTACCCGAAAATCTCGTTACACGGACGAGCGACGAGTTAAACCGGTGGGCGTGCCGCGTCGTGGGGCGAGGGGGCCAGATATTTCGTTTCGGGGTCCCGTGAAGATCGGATTCCTAGACTCCCACGACGCGACGGGCATCCATTCCCGACTCCGTCGTCATTATTCTCTATTCACGAATAGAACCGGGTCAACCGGCAGTTTATCGGCCCGATTGCAACCGTTCATCGATGGAATCGAGTCCACGGTACGCCCGCGCAAATTGTTTCGGACCTACTCCCCCCTTTTTCTTTTCATACATCCAGCGTGTGGTAATGCTGAATGCCTCGGGACGTCGAGAATGAACACGGTACATCGTTTCATTTACGATTTTTCATCAGACAAGAGTTTAATGAAAGAGCTTAATGAATGATTTTATCCCGACTAAATACTAAAGTCAAAAGCACATCGGTATCCGAGGGATCAGGATTGAATTCGGGGTCGCAATGGCATTGGTTTATCGTGTTGATTTAGATGGAAACAGGATTGCACCTATCGATGGAGATTACCGGTAATCACGCCGGCACGTGACTCGTCGTGCATCCTCCGAGCCATGGAGAAGTTTCCACGGATCCGTGTTATTCGCGATATCTCTAAGTCGTCATTACGCTGGCTTGCTTCGTGAACTAACTAACATCATCGATTAATCGAATAAGTTCGAACTATCTGAAAACTCGTGCAACTTCCGAAGAATTTTCGTTGCGCGGGCGTGAAATAAGGATAGCCAGACGTACTCCTTACACCCTCTCGACCGATCATCGATACACCCGGACAAACTTTCGATTAGTTCCGTAGTTGTGCCCGCGGACTCATCGGCTCGAAATAACTCGAATCGAACCTATGTCTCAAGGATACGTATCTATAAATAGTAGCCGTCGTTTTCATACTGTAACCGCGGCGCATTGCTCGTCGTTCACGGGAAAGCTTTCTACGTGGAAAAGATTCGACGGTCGGCCGGTTCCATTAAACGACCGGCGCGGCGACAAAGTTCCCCGATCGGCTGTGGGGTGCGAAATTGTGTGCCCGAGCCTCGATGCGACAGTGACGAAAACCGATACAGCCAGACCGAAACGGTTGGGTCGATTCGGTCGAACGGCAGCCACGATATGACCGCGGGAGAGAGATAGCGTTTGTATCGGCGAGAAAATTGGCTTATCGACCATGTCTGAACTCGGCCGGCTCGGCTAAAGGTAAACTTCATCGTTTACCGTTACGTATCCCATAATATCGTACTTCCGCAAAGTAGTATCAACAATCCCGAGAAAAATGATAACAGTGATTGATATTTATGGCTGACTTACCTTCAGAATATTCTCCACATCGGCTGAATTTTCAGTGAGAGCGGGCCTCGAAATCGTTCCCTGAAACAAATAGAAGATCGATAAGAATCGAGATAACTTTTTACCGTCTCATTATTCGGTTGATTTGTTGCCCGTTAATTCCGCGCGTATAAGGGCCTCCACTTGTATCACTTAAGACCATGTGTAATCAAATCATCACGCAACACGGTAAAGAAGCTTAACGAGCTTTCTAGTTTATAACAGACAGGCACGGTTGAAACACGATAAAAAGGGGGGGAACAAGCAAAGCGGATTTTCTTTTCATTCCGCGGCACTACTTTCCTCCTCCGGGCGACGCGTCGATGGAGTTAAACGACGATAAACTGAGAGAGTCGGACCGCAGCGCGGATGTTAATTAAAACGATTCCGATTCGAGGCGGTCACGATGGAATCTCTCTAGCCGAGTCCTTTCCACGATTTATCACGAGCTCTCGAGCGATCATTAATCAACACTCTCTCCTCTGTCTCGCTCTTTCTTTCGCGAAGAAAAAACGCATTGAAAAGAGCAGCCCGGACGCCCATTACGAGCAGAGCAAGTCGAGTAGTCATTGCTCGGAGGAAAACGCGGAGACAATAGAGGAAATGCGTGGACTTGGAAGGCTAAAAATCATGGGGAGAAACACAGAGTGAAAAGGAGTGGGCGCGGAGGACCGTTAGCCGGAGGACACGACAGAAACCGAGGAGACGAAAAGAAAAATGCGATGAGAGAAAGACGCTGAGGAACCGTGAGATAAATAAAAGAGAAACGCGTTGTGGAACGATTATGGTATTTATTATTATATCAACCCTTCTTAACCTCGCTCGTTACTTTTTCCTACAGAAACAATTCCGTTTATTTGGATGTCCAAGGATGAGAGAAATCTCATTTAGTAAGCGCAGCGATTAAAATTCAGATTAGGATCGAGGCACTGCGTTCAAATATAATTCTCTCTTAAAAGCTTCAATGGAAATAAGGAAAAATCTGATTTGAAAAGAGTTAATAGTGTGCAACTGTACTTTTCATTCTGGTCCTTCTCTTCTTCGATGTTGCACCTAACCGCGAAGCTAATTTCACGGATGAAAACGATCGACAAACAGACCGGTGGACGAATGAATCGAAGAAGAGCAGAGACGAGAGGGAAAAAGATAAAGGCGAAAGGAGAGACAGTAGAGCAGTGGAATCAATTTTCTACGGGATAGCTGCGAAAGGGCGACGTCTGCGATTCTCCAGCCAACCCTAATTGTATAAGTATACTGGTGGAACGAGAGGGAAACGCTCTCCAAGTGAGTGCGATAAAGACCGAATCGGAAGAGGTCGATCGATAGTCAATCTCAATGAAATTTGCACCTCGAGGAGTCACGCGTAATAGGGCTCGACCAAACTCGACCCCTCTCGTTCCTACGAGTCGTGTCCTTTCCCGGATACGGAAGGTACAGTCCTCCAGCGGTATTTCCATTGAAAAGCAATTCGTTTCCTGTCAACGAACCTGTCGCCGTGATGCTTTCATCGAGCACCGAGACCAGCGCGGCACGTTCGGGGCTCGGATGGAACGCGAGAAGCCAGTAATAACCTCTTTATTGTCACCTCCCGCCGATTAATACCATGGGAATTGGTTGATCTTTTGCTGGACGATCGATCGAGAGCTTAAGCTACCGAATCCTATACTTCCAACCCTTTGAAAACCGAATTTAATATCCCGAGTGTCGCAACTGTGATTCAAAGCTCGTTCAATAATTTACGATTAAAGCCCTCTATTTAAATATTGATTTACTTTATTAGCAGGATTTATTACCATTGAAGTGTGATCGGAAATCGAGTGCGAATGCAACTGGTCTGTTCGTCTGTTTACTGTCGTATCACAGGAAATGCACAGAAAATGTTTACAATCGCCAGTGCGATTAAGGTCGGTGGGATAGCTAATGCGGGGACCGTAGAACGTTGGAAGGCTGGCACCGAGCCGACGAGCACGGAATCGGCGAGACACCGTTGGGTAACACACAAAAAATACACGCATCGTCGGCGACATTTTACTCGTGTAAACAAGAACCAAGAGGGACAGAGCGAGGAGAAGCGTCGCGAGGAGCGAGGAGACACGGGGGTGGATGGCCACGAAACAATGGAAATCGATACTCACGTTATCGAGAGGTAACCTGGACAGTCTGCTACCGACACAGTGAAGCCTGCTGCCTCCTCCGCCACCACCACCGCCGCCGCCGCCGCCGCCGCCGCCGCCGCCGCCGGAATTCCCAATATTCGAATTGCCAACGAGCGGACCGTTCCCGAGTGAATTCAGGGGTGGGCCTTTGGCTGTTAATAAACCGTGGCTACGATGATCGTTGCTGTTCCCACTGTGCTTCACCGGTTGGCCGGGGTAGCTACCCCTGCCGCCGTACGGCGGTTTTCCGTCGGCGGGTTTCACGAAACCACTCCGTTGATGATTTGACGACGTCGTTGAGGAAGAACCGTTACTAATCCTCATTCCTCCGGGTTTCTTAAATTCCTGGGAACATGGAGAACTCTTGGAATTCGAGACAACCGAGCTGGAACTCGTTCGCACAGGCGTGGGCGACGGAGACGGGGCAGGACTCGGTGGTACACCCTCAATGCCGATCAGTCGTTTAGGCTCCTCCAGGAGATGCTTCACCAGTGAATAGTTGCCTAGTTTCGATTGGATCTGCTGAGTCGTGCTATCCCGGGCGTCGGGGTTCACCTGAAATCACAAAATTCCTATTATGAACACGACATTCTTCGTACCAATTGAATAGAACTGAAGCCGTAGACCAAGTCCAAATTAGATGTTTAATTGCGCTTCGTCTAATCGATTTACAATCAGAATATTTTAATAACGTGTAATGAGAAAAGGTTGGACTAATAAAAGACTGAACAGCTTCAAGGGCGGGTACGCGAGGCGTGTACCCACTTGGGTACGTAGCACGCGTTTTCGCACGTACGAGCAATAATAATTAATACGGCGTAACAGTGGCTGGCAAGTTTACGACGTCGTTGTGCCGGGGCCGAAGAGAGAAATTCGTGTTCGACCCGTAGCGCGGGAGCTAGTTACATTGTTGGCGCACGACGTATGATGTGACAGACAGGCTCGTACATAAGCGTTTATGATCCGTCGCCGGCGTTTCTCTTCGCCTTTGTCTTTCGGGACAATGCGATCGAATCGCGGTTTAATAAGGAGGGGCAGGAGAGGAACCGAGGAAACTTAACGTGATTAATGAGCGCGCTATAAATCACGTACACTTGTTCGCACCGGAGACCCGGGACCCTTTTTTTGACCTTTTTCTTTCCTATCCCGAGTACCTACCTACCTAACACCAGCGCACCGGCCGGTTCTTTAACGAGCACACCGCCCGATGCACATCGCGCGCTTCGCGGACTGCAATTTTCGAAGAAAATCATTAATTCGCGCCAACGCGCGCTTTTCTACCATCGACCGGAATTTAACCGGCAACGAATCTCAGACGTAGAGACAACAAGTGGACAAAGAAAAATCGATAAGACCTAATGACTGCGGACAGAAGTTGTTACCAACGAGAGAGCGACTTCTGCAGTTAGTAAGAACGATTTGAATCTAAGATAGAGTACTGATAATTATCAGAATTTTATTTTTAGTGTAAAAAAAATATTGATTACATAACATATGTACGATGTTCAATTTCGATGAAGATCTACTGTTTCTACAATCGAGTTGTTTCTATTTTTAATCGAACTTGGGAATAAATCATCATCTTTTCTCAGAAGGAGAGTGCTCGGTGTATGGCTAATTACTCGTTAGAGAGGGATCCGAGAGAGCGCGGAGATGACATAAACGCGACGCGCAGCACGCCGCGACGCCACAAGAAATTGCGAGGGAAACTCGTCGAGGGAAGAACGAGAGGAGAGGAACGCTTAGGTGACCAGGTCAGGGACTTCCCTTCCACCCAGACCTCGCTCAATCGTGTCTCTTCTTTTCCTCGCTCTCGAGCTTTGTCCCTCGATCCTCTCCTTCCAGCGGCCTGTCCGAGGAACTCGTCTCTTTAATCGCGGCTCGTTCTCGTGCGCGCAGCCACCGTGCACGCAAGCAGCCGTAAAATCCATCGCCGAAAACCTCGTAAAAACGGAGGGAATATAACACGCGGTCGTAACGCGGGCGTCGTTAACGAGGAACGATGCGTCGTGACGCAAATTCCCGCAATCGCTGTTATGCACCCCCGGTTTCCACTCCGCCTCTCTCTAACTCCTTCTCTTTCAATCCAGTTTTCTATTTTACCTTCCGGAACATTTTGCGTTCGACTCGAGAAATGGCGATCGTAAATTTCTCGTTATGATAAAAGGCAACTTCGTTGACTGGTGCAAGCGACTATATATATACTGCACGAGGTAAATTCGGAGCTTGGAGATATGTGATCGAACGTAATCACGATAAATGGAAAATCTAAACTGTTTCGCGATACTCAAAGGGACAAGTTCGATATCGACCCTTTGGATCTCTCTCTCTCTCTCTCTCTCTCTCTCTCTCTCTCTTTCTCTGTATAGACAGAGGATCGATCAGAAACGCTTGGCTCTGAAACGCAAGTCGCGCACGAGGTACATGCAACGGGCACGTGCATGCGCACGCCCACGCATGCGTTCATCAAATTCCTCCTGCGGACAAAAACGATTTCATCGCTTTGATTCGCTTACACGAGCGGCACGCGCGTCCTTCTCTCTTGGTCAATCCACTTTCGAAATACGTTCGAACAGATATTTGTTGTCGGTCAACCAAAAGCTTTTCCAGCGACCAACGAAATGGCTATTCGGGCGCAGTTTTGTGTTCACAGACTTTGTTAATTTACTTTGTTCTCGCGGAAGGACAGGTCTATTGCCTTGGCAAAAGTTCCGACTGGGTGATCCGAGGAGATTAACAGGAGAGGACGCTCGATGAGTTTTAATCAAGAAGCGTTGGGCAGATTTCTTCTGGGAACGAGAATGGATAAAGAATACGACAGCCTCGTCTTGTCGAGAAGGAGAGCAGGGTGCAAGGGTGAAACTTTATTTAACGGCCGCCTCGCGTGCGGCAAGAAAATAGGAGCAAAGTGTACAAGAGAGAAGAGAGAAAGAGAGAGAGAGTGGGAGCCAGTTGGCAAGCGGCGAGCAACGAATAACGCTCGTACGTGTGTAAAGCATAGCCAAAGATTGCTTACCCTCGCGTCGTCGTCGCCGTCGCCGTCGCCGTCGCCGTCGCGGTCGTGACGCGACGCGAGAAAATTTGGTTTCGTGCTCTAAGACTCTTAAATTAGCAACAGTTCGCTCGTGTACTGTCAGCGCGGTGTTGGCATTTCATCTAGGCGATCGCACGATTTGCTACGAGCAGAAAATGAATCTTGACACGAGCGTTTCGATTACTTCCCTGGCGTCGCGTTGACGAATCGGAAATTCACTAAGAATTAGTAGACCGTCAAACAGAGGATGTTGATCCTAAATAACAGATACGTTCGGAATGGCAGAAACTAAATATTCTTGGACTACTGCACGCGAATATATACGAGATTGTTTGTCGTTGTACCGACGTACTGGCATGAAAGAGTAAAAATAAAATGAAATGGATTTTTATCAAAACGTCAGTACACTGGTACCTCTAAGAGATTCAAGATGTAACCGCGCCAAGAGGTCGGAGCGAAAGAAGGAAGAAAAGAAATCACGGCCCGGCACCAGTCGTCCAAGTACGGTTTCTTGTCGCGTACAGGTTTGGACCAAGCAAGCCAGCGAATCTTCCGGAGGAGTTATCAATCTTTTCCTTTTACCTCCTCCCCTCGTAGGTTCGGGTTCAACGCGACAGAAATTACCCCGGAGGCATCTATATTGTGCTCACGACTGGCAGCCGTATCACGCGCCACGATGTCTATATAAATTACGCGGGATCTCCAAACAACCAACTTTCCCTTCTCTATCTCGCCTCCCACTTCCCCCTACGCCTCGGTGTCCCCTTCATGTTCCAGTTCTCTGAAAATTTTCATCGAACTCCGCGTACTGATTTACGACTCAATCTTCGAACGAGAGACGGTCGATGTTCGCAAGCAGCTTCCCGATCGGTCGTTTTGCGCAAACAACGAGAACTTCCCGTGAAACAGAAAGGGTATTACTACTTAGCCGAAGATCGGAAAAAGCGAGCAAGTTAAGCTATTTACGGCAGCGAAAACTCGATCGGGACTGTCAAACATTTCTCATCTCTGAGCGATTGCGAAGATGTTCGAAGTACTGAATACTCCAGTTTAAACACGGCAGGAAAGAGAGAATCGTTTTTTATCACCTCGTACAGCTCGTGAAGGTAATCCGAAGGAAAGGGATGATCGCTAAAAAGACAGCTGCCGCATCCACCCGTTGAGAAGGATCACCGAAACGGCGCGGCGACCCAAAGGGTATCGAATCGAAATAACGGACGGGGGTGACAAAGAGCCGAGGGTTGCCTGGGAAAATCTGATGCGCCAGAAGAGTTTCTTGCTCGGAAGGATTTTTCGTAGTCGTTCGTCGTTCTTTCGAGCTTCCCTTTGATATTACCCATGCCTCACCGCCGCGTCGCGGAGGGATGAAATATCGTCGGAGTTTGCGATACCGCGGCGGATGAAGAGGACTTTAAACGACCTGCCTCGGCCCCGGGTCTCTCTTATGTATACGCGCACGCATACATGAAACGGTAATGGACACGTCCGAGAAGAGGGAGGAAAGAAGGAGGATACGTAACGAGTAAAATGTCATCTCTTGCGGTTTCTCGTGGCAGCCGCAAGAGAAATGCGCGTCGAAGGACGTCCGCGCATCGAACGGATACCGCTTTGTGGTCGAATACTGAAATTTCTATCTCTGATCCAGGTGCGAGAGTCTAATAGATCGTCGACCGTGAGAATCGTCTGTCGTTAGCGGAGAGACAATGCAAACTATAGATGAAACGTCGATTGAAGTATTCTAACCGCGAACCGGGTCGCTTCTAATCGGGATTATATTTAAAACGATCGAGCTACCGGCTCTACCCTCTAATCCTAGAGACCGAGAAAAGCTGATCAAAAATGTCAGCTATCTCGATTATCCCAGACAATCTCAAATAGAAGCTTTAATTATTATTCATGTGATTAAAACTGCTAGCAGTTTAGAACGTTTTTAGGTTTGTTACATCCCGTATTCCTCTGACCTGAGCATGAGGTCACAACGAAATATTTGAAAATCTGTGGTTGTCAGTTATCATCGTTGCAAGCAGTACAGCTATTCTTACTCTTACACCCTTTCAAGAATATACCATATAAAATGCACGCAGCAAGTATTTACAGGATATAATAAATTGTATATACTTATATGTAATTTAATATCGATGATAGCAATTTCGAGGGTCATAAAGAAAGATGGGACAAAAAGTGTATCGAAATCTGTCCAATTTCTAATTAGCCAAGCGGAAACGGCTACTAACATCAAAGAGTTAAGATTGTTTCCAAAGGGGAAGAGACCGGATGGTCGGATCAGAAGCCAGGGGCATGCCGGCAGAAGAAGCGGTGGGTAAAAAACCGCAAAGATTTCAAGGAGGCAGGTGAACGTCTCGTTTGAGGTTACGCGAGCATTTACCGCTACTGCCGCTTATAAATAGCAGAACAATTTCACGTTTTACATTAATAAGCAAAATTATACAAATACTTTGTACGTCTGATTAATAAAAATGTTTATCGAAGCGGAACGACAGAACGCTGATTCCATTTAGAA